CATTTATGCTGTATTAAAAATCTAAAGGAATGTCTCAGCCTCTTGTTCTGATATCCGTCATGCTTCGGTCGACACCATAATATGAAATTCATGTTCTCATAAACCGACATGGGAACACTTTCAAGATCAAAGGTATAGGAGATAAATCGTCTCTCGCACTGCCCCATAACGGGACAAAAGATATCGTAATACATCTCACGATCTATCTTTTTTTTTTTTTTTTTTCGCTCTCACGATCTATCTTAATCTATAATTTACTACCATATAACCTAAAATGTTGTTCCAAATAAAGTGTTTAACTTTCGAAAGCTAGCTCTCTAATTTTCCATGTCTGAATTTTCAGATAAATCAAATTCAGCTGTCCACCGAGACATGTTAACAGATATCCATTTAAAAAAATATAAATACAGATATCCTGATTTTACGATATTTAAAATAATGTTTGTTTTTATCAAAAAAAAAAAAATGTTTATACGCAATGACGGTGTTTTAATAAATCATTAGGCTACATGTCTTCTTCAAACTTAATAATTATATTATAGATTTTTTACTTTGAAAAGTTGTATATGTAAATGTATGGATCTATGCCTAAACTAATGAGATATTTTATATTTGAGTTGTTAATAGTTTATATACGTGTACATAGATTTATTATAATTAAAAGTATATGTAAAATTATTTTTGAATTTGGAACCAAAAATATATAACATAATATATAGTTCATGTTATATGGCTTTGATTGGTAACTTTCTACCGTTTCAACAGTTACAAATCATAAAAACATTACTAAAAATGTTACCAAAAACGTTACTCTCAGCTTTTTATATAGCTTTTATGTATCATTTTTTTTTACAGTTTTGAACTATTCCGTAAAAACTTACCGTTCTAATTTACAACTAAAATATTTGTACAACTTACCTATGGGATTAAAGTATTGTTAATATCCATACTCAAACTTGTTATTGCATATTTGTTATAAACAAAAGCAATTATTGTTTGGAACTATTGGTCATATATCTGATTAATAAAGTTTATATAATTAAAATATATGTATAAGTAAAGACTAAAATATAACTATGATTAGGTGGGTCTCTGTTCAAGTAGTACCATATATGATATCATGTCCGGTATTTAAAAATAAAAATCGTACTTTTTTCTGGCTACATATATATAAAGGAAGATAAAACATCCACTTGAATATATCCTATAGATTTATTCGGGGAATTTTTGTTTTTCTTTAATTGAATAGTTTATGACTATATATGTGTAAATCATACGTACCATGTTATAGATACTAAATTTAATTCATTAAACTAGATTACACATCCCACATTGCACATGCAAATATACATATGAGCATATTTAAAGACAATAATACTCCAATCGTATCGGATATATTCCAATACCAAGGACATTCCAAACAGAAGCATCCAACATCTTCATATTATTAAATATCATGTTGTAATTGAAAATTCATATTGTATATAATAACTAAATAATTATATATTATATATATTTGATCTATAAATATTGATTGTGAGTGCAGCTATATAGGAAAATGTCAAAATCAAAGAAATATTATGTTGTATGATAACAAGGTGAAGCAAAGAGAAGGGAATTGATATATTAATATGTTGACTCACCTCTACTGATCCTCCACAATATTTTGGCTTATATTGCATATTAGTTAGAAGATAGAACCCCAATTAATTAAACAATTAATTCGGTATAATACATCAAATTTTAAGTTTTGAAGTATATATCATATGGAAAGAAGAAACCAATTTTCAAAAGTATTACTTGGTTTACTTCGATATATTTGGATTGATCATATGATATAATAATCTTTAAGTGTTCAAAATAAATGTTAATATGTTCTATCTTTAATGAAAGTTTTTTGTGTGCTAATCTTTTTGTATTATATCAAATTTTATACTTCAAATAACTTTTGATAATATATATGTGTGTGTGTGTAAATTTAAGAATTTATATTGCTCAAAAATTTAAGATGTTTTTTGAAGTTTTGAACTCGTGTTTTGAGGATAGGTTACTTTGAAAAGTAGATAAACATGAGCGTAGTTAAAACCGTGATAATACCTAGGATGTGGTGTATACCGGTTACATTTATACACTAAAGTTAGAGGTTGATCTCAAAATGATTTTGAGAATATCTTCCATGAAATTATATATTTGAAATATTAGGATGGTGCTGCATGTTCTTTTGAAAACTCAATGTTCAAGATTTTGTGGGAGCTCATTGAAGTATGGGTTGCCTGCCCCAGTCCCCCTGTAATATATCGTTTCAACTAAGTTCCTTCGATATTTTCATCCTCTACCTATTTCCCTCTATACACATTATACTCTTCACAATTCCACCCAATTTTATACAATTCCACCCAATTCACCAAAATCAATTATGCTGCCTAAATGCATTTTAAAATCATAAAATTGCGTTTTACAATTGATAATCTGCGATTAAACCGGTAATCTGATCCATGTTTCATAACCAGAATTGAACCTTCTGTTTGATAGAAAGGGTTCGATTTGACTTAAAAATCAAAAGGGGGAAAAATTTTTAGTTAGGATTTGGAGTTCTTCTTCTTCTCCATCGATACCGACACTCTTTCTTCAACTTCTACTTCGGATTTTGCTTCATCTCTTTAGATTGTCCAATTCTTTTTGTTATTCTTCTTGTTCTGCTTCTGTTTCGTTGTCTCTGGTGTTGATTGGATCGTCGTCTCTAGAGAATCCGAAGCATGGTTGGGTCGAAAGTTATGATATTTCTTTTAAAGAACCTGTTATCGTAGTTGGATTTGTTTGAATTCGTCCGAAATTGTTTGAATTTGTTAATGATAGTGAGAAAGAAATGTATGACGATGATGTTTTATTTTGTACAATTGTAGTGACGATGATGTAGAGCACAATAGGGGTAATGAATCAGAGAATGCGAGTGAGAGTAACCAATTTCGAAGATGAGGCACAAATTGGCAGAGAAATCAATTTTAAAATACTATTTTATGATTTTAAAACGCATTTAGGCAACATAATTGATTTTGGTGAATTGGATGGAATTGTATAAAATTGGGTGGAATTGTGAAGAGTATAGTGTGTATAGGGGAGAATATATAGGTAGAGGATGAAAGTATAGGAAGATCCTAGTTGAAACGATATATTACAGGGGGACTGGGGCAGGCAGTCCTTGAAGTATCCACTATTCAAGAAGCTTAGCCCCTTTTTTCAAACCCATGTATATGAGTTGAGGTTCTTGGTATGATCTTTTTGTTTGTTATGAGTTTGGCTTTAGGTTTGCAAATCGCTTGGGATTTGCGTGGAATATTTTCTTTAGGTTGAAACATTTTGATTTGTGATGTTTCAACGCTTGCTTTTTTTTTTTTTTTTAACTTAAGGGTAAATTCCTATACCTATGGAGGGGTCTAGGACTAATCCATGGGGAGAGGGTATCCCACGGGTAGGGTCCCTCCCAAGTTTTCAAATGGGCCGTAAACAATGGGCCCATACTCATGTGGCTAAAGAGATAAACTAAGCAATTATGCGTCTGGGGAGAATCGATCCCTGGCCTATACCAACAGGGCCACTCTTCCACAAGACTAGAACCACTAGCTCACCACCTCTGGTTTGTTTCAACGCTTGCTGCTTGGCTGATATTTACTAGAACCACTAGAAAAACATAGTGAAGGCTCTAAGATATATATGGTTTTACATCAAAGTGGTAAGTAAATATCAGCCAAGTTCAACGCTTGCTGCTTGGCTAATATTTACTTACCACTTTGAAAACCATATATATCTAAGAGCTTTCACCATGTTTTTCTAGGATCCATGTCAGAGAAACGTGATTGAATAGAATTCTCTGTTATTATTCACATAGGCCAAAGAGGCACCATTTATACAAGGGAATTATGACCTAATTAGCTAACCTAATGATACAAGTAAAAGACGATTAAGGACAAGCTAATATATACACCAATACCCCCCCTCAAGTTGGAGCATGAAGATTAAGAATGCCCAACTTGTCTTGAAATGCCAAAAATTCACGAGCTCCCAATGCTTTGGTAAAAATATCGGCAAGCTGACCCTCAGTAGGAACATGTTGAGTAGCTATCACTCCTGCCACTATCTCGTCTCGTATAAAATGACAATCGGATTCAACATGTTTAGTCCGTTCATGGAAAACGGGATTAGCCGCAATATGAAGAGCAGCTTCATTGTCACAAAATAGAGACATAGGTGACGAATGCATAACTCCAAAATCTCGCAAGCATGCCTTTATCCAGAGCAACTCCTTAGTAGTATCTCCCATGGCTCTATATTCCGCTTCAGCCGAAGACATGGAGACCCGATCATGCTTCTTTGTACACCATGAAATCGGAGAAGCTCCCAACTGAATAAACCAACCCGTCAAAGAACGCCGAGTAAGAGGGCATCCTTCCCAATCTGAGTCACACCATCCACGAACATGTAAGTCACAATCAGAACTAAGAAGGATGCCTTGGCCTGCAGTACCTTTTAAATAACGAACGACTCTCAAAGCCGCATCCCAATGGTCCTGGCGCGGAACCTGCATAAATTGTGACAAGATATGGACACAATATGCAAGGTCCGGACGCGTAACAGCCAAATATATCAACCTTCCAACCAACCTCCTATACCGTTCTGGATCCGTAAGAAGTTCATTCTTTGATACCGCTAATTTATGATTTTGGTCCAAAGGAAAATTGACCGGCTTGGCACCCATAAGACCAGTTTCAGAAATAATATCCAACGTATATTTTCTTTGTGTCAAATAAATTCCCTCAGTATTCCTTGCAATCTCTTTTTTTTTTTTTTTTTTTTTTTTTTTTGAATAAAATGTAAAATTTATTCGAAAAAAACGTTTTTACATCAAGTGCATCGTTTGGTTAATAAGTGATCAAATAAAATTACAAACTATTCCCTTGTAGTGTTTATCTCGAAGCGAACCAAGCTTCCATGCATCCGTCGTACCTCCTATCTCCTTGTTTTCGAATCGAGGAGATCCTGTTCCGAACTTGTTTGTCAAGAGTTTGAAGCAGCTGTAGTGGTGGTATTGGTGTTTCTCCATGCCTCCGACTGTTCCTTTCTCTCCATATTGAGTATATGGCTAGCTGAAAAGTGTACCGTACCAGGAATAGGTCAACTCTGCGCAACGACTTGTCTGTGAGGATCCTGAGAACATCACTCCACGATGTGGTGAATTTCTGTCCAAGTATCTTACGGCTCAAACCAGACCAGATTTCTTCAGCATAGCAACACTTAAAGAAGAGGTGGTCTCTGTCTTCAATTTGTTGAGTGCAGAAAACACAAGACGGGTCTACTCCATTTTGCCAAGTTAGCATTCTGTCTCCAGTTGCTAAGCGATTCTTTATTGCAAGCCATGATATGAAAGAGTGTTTGGGTGTGGCATGGAGGAACCAAATACCCTCGCACCATTCCATACATGGCCTAGCTTCCCGAATTGCGTCCCATGTCTCATTAGTACTGAATTTGGTCTTGTATCGATCTCCTTTGCCTTTCCATAGCACTACATCTCTTTCGTGTGTCAGCCCCTTTGTTTTAATTGCATCAATCTCTGCCTCTATTTTGTTGAGATTTTCAACTCTGTGCCTTCTTCTTTTATGTGTTGCAATCACCTCTGCTAGTGAGGACTGAATTGTTATCCCCATATCAATACATCCTCTCTGACCCGTGTAATCAATAAGCCTCCCCATTTGTGACCAATTATCATACCAAAAAGAAGTTTCTCTTCCATTCATCACCTCTATTTTAGTAAAACTTGCAGCAAGCTCCTTGTATTTGAGGAGTTTTCTCCACATCCAAGACCCCATTGATGTTTTTTCCTTAAGTGACCAGAAGGAACCTTTCCGTATTAGATATAGCTTTATCCATTGTGCCCATAAAGAGTCGGAGGAGGTTATTCTCCAAATCAGTTTTAAACAGCTGACTTTATTTGCTTCATGTATTGATCTTAGACCTAGACCGCCTTCTTCTCTAGGTAAACATACATCTCTCCATGCCACTTTGGCTTTCTTTGGGTTTAGAGCAGGTCCGGACCACAAGAATGCTGAACAAAGCCGGTCAATTTCTGATATGCAAGCACTTGGGAGTCTAAACGCAGAAATCCAAAAGTTGGTGAGGCTCTGAATGACTGAACTTATGAGCTGCAGTCGCCCTGCAAAGGAGAGGTGCCGAGCAGTCCAGGAACCAATCCGGTCCCTTATTTTTTCAATGAGTGGAGAATAGTCTGAAGTTGTCATTCTCTTAGATAGCAAAGGGAGTCCGAGATATCTAACGGGTAGTTGTCCGGAGTCGAAAGGAAAGCTTTGAAGGATCATTTCCTTATCCCTTTCATCTATCCCTGCCATGTACAATGTTGATTTTTCTAGGCTTATCTTCAGGCCAGCGAACTCTGCAAACTTCGTGAATAACTGGAGGATTCCTTCTATAGATCTTTTTTTCCCATCTGTAAACACAAGCAGGTCATCCGCAAAACACAAATGTGTTAACTTGAGATTTTTGCATCGTGGATGGAACCCTATCTTCCTTTCCAAAGCAGCCTTGTCGAGCATCTTTGATAGAACATTCATACATATGACAAAAAGGTAAGGAGAAAGTGAACATCCTTGTCTTAGGCCTCGTGTACTTCGAAACAAACCAGATAATTCTCCATTAACTTGCACCGAGAAGGAGGCTGTTGTAACACAAAGTTCAACCCATTGAATGAATTGCTGCGGAATGTTTAGAGCTGACAAGACGTTGAGAAGGAAAGGCCACTGTACCGAGTCGAAAGCTTTGGATATGTCTATCTTTATGGCACTTCGAGCTGATACCGTGTCTTTGTGATAATCCTTTATTATTTCTGATGCCAACAAGACATTTTCCATTAGAAGACGGTCCTTGACAAATGCAGATTGATTTGGCGAGATGAATTGCGGTAGGATGGTTTTGAGTCTATTTGCGATGATCTTAGAGATTACTTTGTAAATAACGTTGCAGCAGGATATGGGGCGATAATCTTTCATCTCTCTTACCTCTTTCTTCTTTGGTATCAATGCGAGAATGGTGGCATTCATTCCTTTCGGTATAAACCCTTTGATGAAAAAAGATTGTATAGCCACTACAAAATCTTTTTCAACAATTGGCCAAGTTTCTTTGAAGAATTCTACCGTATATCCATCAGGGCCCGGGCTTTTGTTGCTCGGCATTGAGAATAAGACTTTTCTTATCTCATATGTAGTTACTTCACTGGTCAGTTTTGAACAAACCTCCTCTGTACACTGAAATTTCAGAAGATCCTGCAGCTCCTCCTTCGTTTTTCCCTGATAATGGTCCGGCTTATATGCAAGAAACTCTTGAAAGAACCTTGCAGCCTCTAGTTTCATATCCTCCTGAGAATCCACTATCGATCCGTCTGCACATTTTATCTCTTTTATTGCATTTCTCACCTCCCTAAGCTTTGCAGTTTTAAAAAAAACTTTGTTGTTTCCATCTCCAACTTTTAACCAATGTAATTTGGATTTCTGCTTTAGAAACTTTTCCTCCAGTTCTGAAAGATGAAGCCAGCGGTGGTAAGCTCGTGATTCTTTCTGAATTGCCAAAACTGTTGGGTTTTGAAGTGTTTCTTGCTGACAGCTACAAAGCTCGGCATATGCCTCCTTTGTTTTCTTTGTCAGTAAGCCAAACTTGTTCTTACTCATTATTCTGATCTTTCCTTTCAAAGCTTTTAGCTTTTTTGAGAGTCGATATAGCGCAGATGTGGAGTGAAAAAGGGTATCCGTGGAATCCCAATAATCTTTCATCATGGGCAAGAAATCTGGATCAGACGTCAACGCATTTGTAAACTTAAAAGGCTTACGAATGCGAGGCTTATCGAGTTGAATCTTTATTCGACACCGTAAATGATCCTTACAGCCACCGGCTTCAAACACACTGTAGGATTGTTGATAATCCGCAATCCAATTATTGTTCACCAAGACTCTGTCCAGTTTTTTGCAGATCAGCTCACCATCTCTTTCTCTTTTATTACACCAAGTGAAACACGGCCCTTGTGAGTTCATATCACTCAAAGAACAATATCGTACCAGATCTTGAAAATCACGCATTCCCACTTGAATTGTGGGATTGACATCATACAGAGAGTGCTCATCTCCCTTTAGAATTTCATTAAAATCACCATAAATCATCCAGGGTTTGTTTCGAAACAGAGGAGAGTCCTGATGACTTCGCAAATCCTCCCATAATGTTTTCCTTTCGTCTACAAGGTTTGAGGCGTAAATGAAGGAGCAAAAGAATTCTTCTGTCGCACCTTCCATAAGCACAGAACAAGTGATCATTTGACCGCTAGTAAAGCAAGGTGTTAGCCTCACTTTCGGACTCCAGACCACCCATATTCTTCCCAACCTGTTGAAACTGTAATTTGATAGAAACGACCAGTCTGGAAACACTGCATTAACCAGACCCTCTGCCTTTCTTTCTCTTACCCTTGTCTCAAGTAAACAACCAAACTGTAACCCGTCTTTATATACCCAATCCTTTACAACGGAATGTTTAAATGTTTTGTTGAAACCCCGAACATTCCAGAAGAAACTCGACATTAATGATGTTTTTGGTTCTTCTTACTCGGGTCTCTAGAGAGATTCCGAGCGGGTTGAGAAGATGGGTTGGTGATGAACTTATGTGCTCCTTTTGATTCTCGAGGAAGAGACTGTCGCAATGGCAGAGTCTCTTTGATCGAGGTACTGTTCTGTTTCACTGTTTTTCCAATAACTTTGGGTGTGTTTTCAGCTTCAGCTTCAGCTTCATCATGCTTGTTTTCTGCAGCATGTTCAGTTTCAACCGACGGGTCTGCTTCCTCGTCATCTTTATTGCTGTTTTTTCAGTATTATCATCTCCATCCTCACATTTTCCGCTGAGAGCTGAATAGGAATTTGACAATATGTATACTTCCCCATATTTCAGATCCTCTGGCTTTTTTGGCGGGCTACGACTGGATTTCTGTGGAGTTATCCAGCCCTCATTGGTCTGATTCTCTGCAGCTACAACTTCTGTCTGTTGTTTTTGTTCCTGACCCTCTCCCTCTTTGTTTATTCCGGAGCTCGTATCATTTGCTGAAACCGCTTTTGGTGTTGAGACTGAAATTTCATGTGACTGTATTGTTTCTCGCACTGATGCAAGACAAGCGTTAGTCACATGTCCCCATTTCTTACAGCTTCTGCATCGTGGAGGAAGCCAAGGGTATGAGTATTTGACTGTGACATCCAACTCTCCTTCCTCCTCTCCCGTTAGGTTGTATTCATGAGGCAAATCTTTTGTTAGGTCTGCTTCAACCAGTACTTGAGCAACCTCAAAACTTTCACATGCTTCTGTTTTTGGGTGTAGCCTAATTGGTTGTCCTACCGCACTAGCCAGAAAATCTAACCCCTTGTCCGTGTACATGGTTAGCGGAACATTTTTTAAAGTAACCCACAATGGGATAGACTTCATTGCCGGTTGTGCCTCTTCAGAAAACGGTGTCCATTTCGTTATTAGCATTGGAACATTCATGATATTCCACATGCCACGGTTCAGCAATCTTCTCCGCATTGCCTCATTCCGTACCCGAAACTTGACTGTCGTGTCATTGACTGCAAGAACATCAATCAATGTTGATTTATCTCCAAATCTCTGTTGGGGTTGGATTTCATCCTTTAGCACCGAGCCGGACTTTGGACGCCTCAGGGAACTTCTGAAGACACCTCGGGGAAGCATACCAACTATTTCGTAGGAAGCGAGCCATTCACCTCGGTGCAAAGTGCCATTCACCTCGGGTCACTGCACCGGTTGCCTCGGGGAACGCCCATAGCCTGCTCGGGGTCTGTCAGCAAGCTTGTGAACCCGAGCCGGCTCTCTTCAAGCGCCCGAGCCGGTTCACTCTAGGAATCCGAGCCGGTTCGTGCTAGGACGCCCGAGCTGGCTCCTTCCGTGGACCCGAGCCGATTTCCCTTGGGAGCCCGGGCCGTGCCTCTCCTGTCCCCGAGCCGATTGCACAAGTCACCCGAGGCAAAGACTTAGTAAAATATTCGTCTTCAAAGTACCATTTCCAAGCGAGTCGTCATTTCCGAAAAAGAAGGATCATTTTCGATAGACCCGGAAATGATAAGGAAGAACCCCAAAGGATCAACTCAAATCAGGAAATCTTCCAAGAAACTCCGAAGAATAAGGAAATTATCCTTATTCCGCGATATTCTAAGCCGACTTCGAGATAAATGGAAATCTTCCGAGAATATCGCTGGAGAGGCGGTTTATCACCCCTATATAAAGAGACTCAAGGCTCAAGCGGAGGGGTAAGCAATATCGCTCTAGGATTTACACTACGCAAAGCTCTCACAGCACAAACATCTTTTTCTTTTACGATCAAACTCTTGTACGATCAAAACTACTCTTTTCATCAATAAGATCAAGAACACCATCTTTGGTTACAATTGTTTCTGTTGTTCTTTGAGAATTCACATTTATCGTATCCCTAAATTAAAACCCTAGACAAATCTCGATTGTGTTAGTTTCGACTTCCACAGTTTGGCGCCGTCTGTGGGGACACTTTAGAATTCTCTTACCCTAAGACGCAGAACTCGATTACCGAAAAGGACGATGAACGAAGACGGTCGTCAGACACCACCAGCCGGAGGAGGGAACCCTAACCCTCCGAACCCTCAGAATCCTCAAGCCGATCCGACGATCATAGCGACTCTAGCCGAACTGAAAGATC